TCTAAATTCTTTATCAGACATTTCCATGATTTGCATTGAACTGTTTGTGGATGAAGAGGAATTATTCTTTTCCCTTAGAAGAGAGGTATTTTCTTGCTTTCCCATACTTCTTGTGGTCCTGTGGTGATTTTTTGCCATCTGATGGATGGTGTGTTTCTTTCGAATTCTTGAAGTTCAATCTGAGTGTTCAGGAGCAAGCAGAAAGAGGTGATCGGGAATCTCTTTGCCGTTCTGTTGTGATCACTGGTGCAGCAGATTCAGTAGATATTGAGGAATGTTAACCCTAAGAGTATTTCGATGTTTAGCTACAGTGCCCTTAGATCCATCACGCTAGCTTTGTTTGCTGGAGGCTGAATTATGAGTAGAAAATCTTCATTTCTCCTGTCCCCTGAAATGACTAGTTCGCAGGAGCCATGAGGAATCCTCTTCTGAAGGAAGGCCTCAACTCTCCTGCCATGCTAGCTTTGTTTGCTGGAGGCTGAATTATGAGTAGAAAATCTTCATTTCTCCTGTCCTGTGAAATGACTAGTTCGCAGGAGCTATGAGGAATCCTCTTCTGCCAAAACCAGTTTTCTGATATTATCACCTGAAAGTGTGAACTATCTAATGTCTTGTGGTTTTATATGAGCGTTGTCTTGTCTTACTGGGCCATCTCTGGCTGACAGTTTCCTTGAATCAACACCACCCTGCAGTGGAGACACAAGATATCAGGATCACACTGTGGTGAAAGCTTTCACTAACCCTGCAGCATCAGCACAAGGACCGTGTTTCCGCTATTTTTAAGGTCACTATTGTGTCGCTCAGAGTGGGGTGGTTTCTACACAGTAGGAGAGTAGATCAACTATTTTTGTCCTGTTTATTTTCATAGAATGCACGACTGCTTAGTTGTAAGAAAGAGTGAGCTGCTTGCTGATTCATGCAACAACATTATTTTAGCCAAAAGAAGCCAAGCGTGAAAGAGTCTGTTTCACTCTGTTTATATGGAATTTGAGAACAGGCAAAACCTATCTTTGGGTGATTGAGGTTAGACTGATAGGAAGGTAGGCAAAATCCATCCATGGGTGATTGAGACTAGAATGATAGGAAGGTAGGGATTGGCTGGAAAGGGGTACAAGGAACTTTTCTGGACAGATGTAAATGTTGGACACTTTAGAGTGTTGGTTACATGGATGTATACATTTGTCAGATCTCATCAGATTGCTCAGCCAAGCTCTGTGTATTTCACTTGATGTCAATTTTATCTCAATTAAAAATAAGTTACCTGGTGTTGTGGTTCTTGTCTATGGACTTGTTTAAAGTGGGAATTAGGAATTATATAACAGGCTTATAATTTTCATTATAAGACTGCTTAATGTATACCACATGCATGTAGTACTTTGATTCACAATTTAGAAAGTGAAAAATCATGAATCTTTTTGATATATGGAACACTTTTAAGCATGACATCTAAAATACCTTGTTTAGCTTTACTTTTTCTTTTCTTTTCTTTCTTTCTTTTTTTTTTTTTTTTTTTTGCAGAGGGGCCATTGTTTTTCAAAGAGTTAAAACACTCTCCCCAGCCCCGTTGGAAAGGGTCACATCACAATCCCTTCTCCCTCATTTCTCCTTTTGGGATTTTGGGCATGTGCCCAGCATTGCTGTTTTTCAAGGCACCAAGTTTGGGACTTGAACTGCAGAATTAGTCATGTGGGGTCCAGTCACCTTAACCACCATGTCATGGGCTAGCATGGTTTTACAGTTAGAAGGTAAAATTTCAATACTAACTACTATGAACCAGGTACTTTAGTATGTATTTTACATATGCTTTTTATTTGTTTGTTTTTAGTTAATCCCCCAAACAAATGCAATGGTTAGTTATGGTATTTTCATTTTAAAGAAGTAAAAACAGAAATACCAGGAGGAAACTGATGCACCATGTTTTAAATTAATATCCCCAAGTTACTGTGGAAAGAATTCTAAGCCAGCATTTTTAGAGTTCCACATCTGAATTTTCTGATCTTTCTAAAATTTATGCAGTATCTTTTTACTGTATGCATTTAATGAATAATTCTGTTAAATTTACTTGGAGGTTTTTTTAAGTGAGCAACCTTTCACAACTTTTTCTCCATTTAATAACTTTCCTTTTTCCCAAGGAGCAACCATGGTGACAGCTGCTGTGGTAGAAGTGCATTCACGTGCCTCTCAGGTTAAGACGACACTAAACATGAGTTTCAGAACTGATTATCTTACCATGGTACTATACAGTCCAGGTCCTGAAGAGGTAAGTTGAGGAAGAAAATGTGTTTTCACTTTGAAAAGTTATATAGGTAAATATTTATTAAATTGCAGTTTTTAATATTTCACATGTATTTTGTAGTATCTACTCCTCTGAGAAAAGTGGTTGCTTTTTTTTTTTTTTAAGAGGTTTTTTCGCTATAGGGTGCGTGCGCTCGCCAGACAGACAGAGACAGACAGCGAGAAATCACCCCCCCCAGGGGGGATGACCACACCGCAATCCCTTCTCCTCCATTCTCCTCTTGGGATCTTGGGCGCGCACGCACACGCACCCGGTGTGAGTTTTAAGCCACCGGGTCCGGGACTCGAACTGCGGTCGAGTACGTGGGAGTCCAGCGACATAGCCATTACGCTAACTGCTGGTCCCAAAAGTGGTTGCTCTTAACACTTTAGTAATATAATTTTAGCCATTTCCTTTTGTAAATGAGTTATGGGACATTGGGAAAGTCATGATGTAGTTTTGCATAAAAAGCATAGAAAAATACCTCGTGACTTCCCCAGTGACCTAGTATCTTTCACATAGCTAATGATGTAAAAAATGAATTTTAAAACTATTTTTTTTCTTTCATTTGTGTGCCCTTTGGGAACAGAGAATTTTGATGTTTCGTATAAACAGAGGCAACAGTGGGTCGGAGTTCATATTAGAAAATGTTTGAGATTTATGCTTTTGTGTAATTTTTTAATCAATTTCCCCCTTTGCAGACTTGCTTTACAGATGTTCGTGATCCTTCTCTGATACTTGCTGAATTTAAATTGGAAAATATTATAAGTACCGCAAAAATGTACACAGATGACTCAACATTCTCTTCTTTCTCATTAAAAAACTGCATTTTAGATGATAAAAGGCCTCATGTCAAGAAAGCAACTCCTCGGTATGCTTTGTAATAGTGTTCTGAGTTTTTACCTGAGAAATGATTGATAGATTTTTAGAACTTATCCCAAAGCTCCATGTTCATTTTCTGAGTACATCCTAGGATCTTCCAAGCTCAGTCCAATCAGGTTATAGTACTCAATTAGCAGTGAAAGTGTCTTGATTCAGTCATATGTTAGTCTTACTGGATAATTGATAGATGGGTTAAATAAATAGAAATAATCAGTACAATGAAATCAGTTTTTAAATTAATTTACATTCTTCAGAAAACTATTAACCCATGCTAATTTGAATTGGACATGAAAAATTGAGAGGAAAACTGTTCGAGATAATTTGATAATTTATTAACCATATCCTAATTTGTAAGACAGTTGTGCTGCTGACATTTGGAGCACTCTTTGAATCTTCGTGACAAATGGGACATGACATCAGAATGTGTGTTTGCTGTCAGAGAGATAAGAGATCTTTGAGGAATATTGGTTTGTGTAGTTCTTTGCGAGTTGCTCATAGGAATTCTTATTTTGTTTTTCAGAATGATAGGACTGACAGTTGGGTTTGACAAGAAGGACATGATGGATGTCAAGTACAGGAGAGTCAGAGATAGTTGTGTGACTGATGCCGTCTTTCAAGAAATGTATATCTGTGCAAGTGTGGAATTTTTGCTGACCGTTGCCAATGTCTTTTTTGAGGCCTACACCACAGGCAGTGTTGTAGAAACCAGTGTTCAGTCATGGACTTCAAAGGAGGAAGGTTAGTTAACTGACTAAAATATTTATTATCTGTGTTATTGAAGTGCCACGCTAGAGATGATTAGGATAAATGCATTAATAAATGGAAATCCAGTTTTTCATAGGTAAGCAGAAACATCTTTAATGTGTTTTCTAGAAGAATGTACAGTTTGCAGTTTTTAAATATTGAGTTAAAAAATACATGACATACAGTAGAATAAGTAATTGTACTTTTCTGCCACAGTACAACACTTTAACAAACTGAGTGATTTTGTTAGTAAAAGGAAACAAGCAGGGAAGATAATGAAATGACCACTCTTTTGCTTAATTAAAAATAGTATTTTAATTTAAAGTGCTCTTGTTTGTTTTTGTTAGATTTATTTTTAACAATGACCACTCTTTTGCTTAATTAAAAATAGTGTTTTAATTTAAAGTGCCCTGGTTTGTTTTTGTTAGATTTATTTTTAATTTTTTACTTTTTTCTATTGTCACTCATTTCATTCATGGTAGTATAAAGCATGTCCACTTGAAAATGAGGAAATGAGGATTAGGAAATACATCATGGGAACATCATGACTTATTTTTCTGTTTTTCTATGTAAAAATGCATTATGACTTTCCCAACCCAGTAGTTTCTGTCTCTGCCAGTAACTAGTAGAGATCTTTTTCCTCCACATTTTTAAATGTTCCTATGCCTATAGCTTCTTCAAATCTTCAGTAAGAGCATTTCAGTAGATTTTGGGAGCATCGGAGATTCTTCTATTTGACTTAGAATACATTTTATTTATTTTTTTCCTTGAGTGGGAGTGACAGAGACAGAGAAGCGAGCATCTGAGATTCTTTTATTTGACTTAGAATACATTTTATTTATTTTTTTCTGTAGAGTATGTGCACTCACTCGAGACACAGAGAGAGACAGAGACAGAAACCAAAAAATCACTCCCCAGGGGAGATGGCCATGCCAGAGTCCCTTCTTTTCCATTTTCCTCTCAGAATTTTGGGCACGCACACACATACACCCATCTTGAGTTTTAAGGCAGCTGATCCAGGACTCGAACCATGGTCAACTACATAGGAGTCCAGTTACCTAACCACTATGCATCTGCTGATCCCAACCCCTAACAGTGTCTTGACACTGTGATTTGCCCCCAGCCCTGGATCATGAGCATGTGTGTACCTGGTATACTAAGGGAAGCCTCTGGGTTCAAACCTGGCACCTTCTTATGTGGGTCAGCCGCCCAGAGCATTCATTGTGTTTTGCTGCTGCACCATTGTCTAGCCCTCAATATGTTATTCATAAGTAGCTGATCCCAACCCCTAACAGTGTCTTGACACTGTGATTTGCCCCCAGCCCTGGATCATGAGCATGTGTGTACCTGGTATACTAAGGGAAGCCTCTGGGTTCAAACCTGGCACCTTCTTATGTGGGTCAGCCTCCTGGAGGCATTCATTGTGTTTTGCTGCTGCACCATTGTCTAGCCCTCAATATGTTATTCATAAGTAATGTGTATAGCAAATGTCTAGAAATATTCTAAAATCTTAATTTATTTTTACTTTTAGTACCTGTACAGCAACCGGAAAAGTGGGAAATTAATACTATTATTAAAAATCCTGAAATTGTGTTTGTGGCTGACATGACAAAGAATGATGCTCCTGCCTTAGTTATTACAACACAGTGTGAAATTTGCTGGCGAGGTGACCTTGAAAACAATACAATGACTGCTGCCATTAAAGATCTTCAAGTGAGGGCATGCCCATTTCTTCCAGTCAAGAGAAAAGGCAAAATCACTACTGTGAGTTTACTATCGAATTATCTGCTTACTAGTCAACTGTTTGGATTCAGTATATACCACTTTAGGAAATGAAAGCTATCTAAATACTTTCCAACCTTGTTCTGTAAAAACACCTTTCTTTCTATGTAGAGGGCCTAAGTTAGACTATTAATGCCAGTTTTGAAATTCTTTTTCATTCTTCCAGGTGATTCTTGTTTGTGTTTGTGGAAATAGACTCACTAAGAAGTTGGTTTCATCTTGACACTTTTCAGTTAAGATCTTACTTGGCACCAGCAGATGGCATAATGTTTATGTCGTTGGACTCCCACGTAGTCAGCTGTGGTTCAAGTCCCAGACCCAGTGGCTTAAAATTCATGCTGGGTGCGTATGTGTGCATGCCCAAAATCCCAAGAAGAGAATGGAGGAGAAGAGATTGCAGCAGGGCAAACTCCCCAGGGGATGATTTCTTGCTTTCTGTCTCTCTGTGTCTCTCTGTGTCACTGGCAACGCACGCATTCTATAGCAAAGAATCACTCTATAGTAACGCACGCATTCTATAGCAAAGAATCACTCTTTAAAAAAAAAAAGAAGAGATCTTACTCTGACTTTCTAATCATTTTCATTCTAAATTCTAAATTTATGTATTAAGATTTCTTTTTTTGGTTTTGTTATAGTGCACATGTGCTCACCAGAGAGAGAGAGAAAGAGAGAGAGAGAGAGAGAGAGAGAGAAGGGAAGTGAGAAATCACTCCCCAGAAAGGATGGCCACACTGCAATCCCTTCTTCTCTATTCTCCTGAGATTTTGGGCATGCATGCAAATGTGCCTGCATGATTTTCAATCTGTTGGGTCCAGGGCTTGAACTGTAGTTGTCTGTGTGGGAGTTCAATACTTTAACCACCATGCCACCTGCTGGCCTTGGCTGTTAAGATTTCTACCAGTTGTTTGAAATGTTGCCATTTTCATATAATTTTTTTCTAGTAAGTAGATATTTGTGCTTAGGTAATGTGTTTTTGCTTATCTCTATGTAACTTATTTGAAATTTTAGCCATTTTCTTTGATATACCTCACATTTGTATTTTACTCCGTAGTAACCTCTTGGCTTTCTTCTTTATAACTCAGCTTAAAGTTTATGTCTTCAAAGACATCTTTTCAAGTTAGCCATCTGACTTTCAGTAGTCTTAAAAGTACTCATAAAGTATTTAGATTTCTAAAGGGGCAACAGAAGTTTAAATGTTCTAATATTATCAACAGATAAATACAAGCTATAATTTTGTTATTAATAAATACATACTAGTTAAGATATAAGATAAATCATTGTCCTAATTTGCTAGGCTGATGGCTCACCACTAAGAAAAAAAAAAGAAGAAATAGAAAATGGAGGTCAGACTGACTCTTAGGGTTATATCTTAGAAATTTTACATATATTTCTTTTATTTTCACCCGTTGCCTTGAACATAGCTGTGTGACCATACTTATCCACAGTAGAAGTTGGAGAATATAGTCTGTTTTTCTGAGCTACTTTATGCTCAGATAAAATTTCTATTCCTGTAGAAGGAAGAGTGGAACAAATATCAGGTGACAACTATAGGTCCTCCCTACAGAATACCCAAAGGTTTCTTCCATTGTCCACAGAAAAGAATCCATACTTGTCCTACTTTTTCACCCTTACCTCTTCCTCAAAGGACATAATCTCTTCAGTATCAGGATCTTTAGTCTCTATTGGGTCTGCATAACCTACCACTTCCACATACACAAATAGGTATATATGCCACCGCCATAGAACCACACACACAACCACTGTGTAATGATGGTAGAAGAACAGGGTAGTTGCAATTAAAAAAACCTATTCAGGAAAAGAAAACGGAAACACTTGGTAACCACTGATCTGTAACAGTTGTCATGTACTGCTGATTGGAATTGTGAAAACTTTTTAAGCTCTAACAGTGGAGTAAGTTCTTTGGATAGCCCTTTCATTTTTTCTTTCTTCCTGGAACTTTCATTTCATTTCTTCACATGACTCTGTCTTCCCCCTCTGAGAGATTCTTTTTCTTTTTTAAATCCATTTTTATTGATGATAGAGCACATGCACGTGGTTGGGGTGGGGTGGGGAGGAGAAGCACCCTCCACAGCATCTGGACACACTGTGATCCCCTTCCTCCACTCCTCCAGCTCAGTGGATACTGGGGACTTCCATGTGTGCCTGACATGTTGACCTGGCTGGGGGTTCAGATCGCTGTCACCAAATGGGATCCAGCCATAGCAGTGCATCACCCACTGTGCTTCAGAGCTGTCTCCTAGTTAATTGATTTTAAATTCTGCTTCATCTGTAGTACTGGTAAACATTGAGATATTAATTCCTATTAATTGTGTTTTTGAGTGGTACAATTTCCATTTTTTAATAGATTTCATTTTTCCATCATTCACTTTCTTGAACAAATTAATCATATTTCCTTTTTTTTTTTTAACCTTTCTATGATAGGAAGCGTATGCATATGTCTGAGATAGCAAGCGCTAGAGAGAGAGAGAACTCTTTTTTTTTTTTTGGAGAGGTTTTTGCTATAGGGTCCACATGCTCGCCAGAAAGACAGAGAGACAGAAAGTGAGAAATCACCCCCCGGGGGGGGGATGGCCATGCCACAATCACTTCTCTTCCATTCTCCTCTCAGGATCTTGAGCACACATGCACACGCACCCGGTGGGAGTTTAAGCTGCCGGGTTCAGGACTCGAACCGTGGTCGACTACATGGGAGTCCAGTGACATGGTCATTACGCTAACTGCTGGTCCCGAGAGAGAACTCTTGATAGATTCTTACCATGCTTGAGAGATCCCTCTCCCCAGCCCTCCAGCTCCTCAGATTCCTAGTTGTTCATGCATACTTCTAGATAATTTCTCAGGTTGACCTGTAGTCCAAAATGCAGTTCCAGATGGCTTCCAGCACTGCAGGGTTCTAGCATTATAGCTGGGCCACAGTGACTGGGCCTAGGATTTCCTTTTGATGATGCCAGTAATTGAATCATCTCTATTTCTGTTTTATCTTTCAGTTTTGTTTCTTCATATATCAGATACTTTTTTGTTAGATGCCAGACAGTGTAATATAATGTAGAGGCTTCTATGATGTTTTTAGTCTCCAAATAGAGTTTCATTTATTCTTTATTAGGCAGAAAGAATGAGAAAAGTTTATTTTAATCCAGTAGGAATTGAACTGATTGGAGGCTAGATTGTAGTTTCTGCAAGGTCTTGTTTTCTGCAGGTTCCTATTTTCTGTTAAGTACAATCTGAGTTTAGTAATAGTATTGTTGTTAACTTTCTATTTATTATAAAGAATGAATAAAGAGGATAATCAAGAAGTTTGCTGAGTCACTTATATTTTTGCAGTTACTTTTACCCTGATTTGTATGTTTAATGTAGCTATTATTAGGAGAGTCTTTAGCAATATTTTAATACTAAATATTAATTTAGTGGTATTGATTTTTCTCTTAAAGGTTTTGCAGCCCTGTGATTTGTTTTATCAGGCTACTCAGATAGGTACAGATCCACAAGTGATTGATATATCAGTAAAATCCCTGACACTGAAGGTAAGTTAAAGTATCATCATTCAAATATTCCACACACTTTTCTAAAAATCAGTAAAACCTAGGAACAAGTACTTACTGTAATGTCTTTTTGTTGTTAAATAAGCAAAATAAATGAATTTTTGTTTTTGAAAACATATTTTTATGAGACATTATTTACAAAATGTTATTATTTAATACATATTCTCTAATCATTATTATCCTATACTTTTTTATTGGCATTTGATTGCTTTTGCAGTTAATGTATAATATCACTGTAGTGTATATAGTTCAAATTACACTTGGTTAGTACCTATAAAATTAATGTACATATCTTAACTGAAATTCACTATGGTAATTTAAAAATCCTCATAGGTGATACATTATTTCTACTATTTTGTGTAATAATGCTAGTTATGGCTAGTAATGTTAGTTCAGTATTAATTCCTTATGATCCTTCAACAAATATATGTAATGCATCTGAAATAAGTATTTCTGAAAGTTGTGTATTTGTAGTTTTTTTGTTAATTTTACTTTTCCCTCCTAGGTGTCACCAGTTATCATAAATACCATGATCACCATAACTTCAGCACTTTACACAAACAAGGAAGCTGTCCCCGAAGAATCAGCGGCTTCTGTAGCACACTTATGGGAGATGATGGACACGAAGAATCTGAAAATGTGGTTTCTTGAAGAGTCAAATGAAAGTGATAGAATACCTCCCACAGCTGACTTGGTACCTAAAGGAGAGAAGATAAAAGTGAACATCGATTCCATCTTTCTAGTTCTCGAGGCTGGAATTGGCCACAGGACAGTTCCTATGCTGTTGGCAAAGTCAAGTTTTTCAGGGGAAGGCAAAAACTGGAGTTCCCTAATAAATCTCCACTGTCAGCTGGAGCTGGAGGTAGGCACTTACAGTACATGATAAGGAATGCATGTTATGGAGGTCTCATCCATTTATTTAAATTAAGCTTGTTAGGAATAAGATACTGGCTGAAAAGCTTCTGAAAGAAAGTTCACAGTTTCTTTGCTTTTGAATAGTTTTCTGTTGTTTTGTCTTTTACTTTTAGAGTATATATCCATGTTAAGTTTGTATTTCAATTTCTTGCTTCAAGGTAGGTGATATCTTGGGTTGTCAGAAAAGTCATGACACATTTTTGCATAGAAAACCAAAAATACATCATGACTTTTCCAATGACCCAATATGATAGTTATTTTTTAGATTCTAATTTTTTAAATTTTTAAATTAAAATTAAATTGCTTTTTTATTTAAAAGGATAGTAGGCTGAATTTCTGAACATAAGAATAATCTATTCTGAAAATAATGCAGAGAATTAATTAAAGAGTATGCCTTGTACCTTTGTATTATTTAGTCTCTTTATTCTCTAGAGAGTCCATTAAGATCTTTCAAATTTTCACGAGACTGCTGTAAAAGCAGTATTATCAGTTGAGGTTATCTGGGTGATATTTGATTTGAACAAACATATTTCACTTTAGCATTTATCTCTAGGGATATTGTGGTTTTAATTCATTAAGCTTATATGTATTAGAAACTAATTTGATACTCTGTTTTAAAAGTGAGTATGAAAAATTATACACTGCTTTATTTTTTAAGTGCATTGATACAGGGCTCTGTCCTAACGAAAGTGTAACTAACTGACCAGATTGCAGATTTCCAGGTTGTAGTTAAAATTCTACATATTTACAGAGGATTTGACCAGGTATGTCCAAGAAGTTTAGGGCATTCAAATAAATGGATACTCATTGAATCACATAGTACTTACCTTCAAAGACTTTCTATCAGTTGAAATAGACAGTTTAGAAATATCAGTAATGCCAGCCTGTGGCCTGTTGTACCATGTGGTTTCAGTCCTGGGCCTGGTGGCTTGAAACACATGGCAGGTGTGTGTGTGTGTGCATGTCCAAAATCCTGACGGGGGGTGAAATGAAGAAAAGATTGTGGCGTGATCATGCCTTCCTGGAGACAGGGGTTTACATCCCCCCCCTTTCTCTGTCTCTCTCTCTCTCTGATGAGCACACACTTCCTATGGCAAATTTTAAAAGTAAATAAAGATGTCAATAATATGTGATAGAGGAACATCGTTTTATTACTTAGCCCAGAGTGGCAGTTAAGGAAAGATACTTAAAAGAGGACTCAGCTGTAAAGGGTGAACATGGACTATTACATTAGTGAGGTGAGGAAAGCACGTAGGCGTGTATATATTGTTAGCTGTTGAATGGCGTGCAGTACGATTTTTCTGCAACAGAAATGGCACAGCCTGAAGGCATGGTAGCAGGAAGCAGCATGGAAGATTGTTTTAGTAAATGCCAGAATGTTTGATTTAAAACTAAAAACTCTCTTTGCAGGTACATTATTACAATGAAATGTTTGGTGTATGGGAGCCTTTGCTTGAACCTTTAGAGATTGATCAGACTGAGGATTTTAGACCATGGAAGCTTGGAATCAAGGTATGTGTATGTCCATGTATGTATGTGCATGTGTGTGTTTCTGTGTGTAGACTTCATTTTTTTTTCTTTTTATAAGATTTTATTAAAGGTCTTTACAGAGTAACATCCAGACTCCGGATACAGCTGCTGGGACCCTAGTAGGCCGTGGGGACAGGCTGGGGCATGGCAGGCGACTCTGGCTTCCCACCCTTACTGTTCTGAGGTGGAGGTGGTGGGCAGTATCTCATCTTTGGGTTCATTATTTTAGAGCAGTTTTAGGTTCACAACAAAATTGAGAAGACACAGATTTCAAGTGTACTGCCTGATCCCGTACATGCCTAGGGTTCTTCATGGTGAGCATCCCCACCAAGGTATATTTGAAGTCTGAAAAATAATTTTAAAATATAGCAGATGTCCACCACACTAGATGCTTTAATTTTCACAAAGTTCAGCTTCCTCATCAGGAGTTTGGTCCACATGCGTCTCTTTTTGACATCAGAATGTGATGTTCAGATCTAAAGCCAATGCTGCCTATGCTTCTAATACAAATAATTATGTGACATTATTGGGCCGGATGTGTTTCTGAATACTATATCTTTGCTTTAATCCTTACACTAGCCCTCTAAAGATTTCCCCCCCAATTTAATATGTGAGGGGACTGAAGCTAGAGAGGTTAAGGGTTATGGCTACAAAGTGGAAGAGGTGGGATGAAGACCAGCCAGTCCCTTAAACACGGGCTAAGATGTTTGTGCCATCGTCCTGTTGGCTGTTGTCTACCTCAAGAATCTTTTTTCCTCTGAAGGCATGTATGTGTGGGTGTGTGTTTATTATCTGTCAACACATTATTTGTTTGAAATATAGCGTGATTTTATGTAATCATGAGAAACAGTGTCTAAGTGGATGAAATTGTGCTTCTGAAGCAAGAGACTGAAGAATTACCAGCATGTCCCCTGCGTAATAGTGATTTAGTTATGCTGCAGGTAAATTTTCAGTGGCTTAAAACCAGTTGAAAGCAACAACAAAGGTGGCCAACTTGGCATGTCTGGCATTTTTGTGTTAGATGATTTAATTTAATTTTCCAGCTATTTTAGATGAATGATTTGGGTAAAGAAATTCCTTTGGTGGCCTTTAGGTCAGAATATATTTGGGCAGTTTATCTATTAATACTAAAAAGTGGTAAATGGGGGGCCAGCAGATGGCATAGCGGTTACATCGCTGGACTCCCACCTGGCTGGCTGTGGTTTGAGTCTTGGACTCGATGGCTTGAAAATCTTGTGTTGAAAATCACGCTGGGTATGCGTACGTGCGTGTGTGCAAGCCCAAGATCCCAGGAGAATAGAGGAGAAAAGATTAGGGCATGGCCATCTGCCCTGGGGGGTGATTTCTCACTTTCCCCCTCACTGTCTCTGTCTCTCTCCAGCAAGCTTACACGCTCTAAAGCAAAAACGTTCTTAAAAAAAAACAAAGAACAAAAAGGTAAATGTTATTGTTTCTCATGAATCCTAGGTTCCACAGCACTGTTGTGCCACTGTTCTGGGTCATTTTAAGTTGCTAGATTCATTTCTATTCTTTCTTTATTAGTATGACTAATACAGTAAACTAAATTACTTTTCTTAGTCTAAATGTCTGTGTTGCTATGAAGTCTGTGCTTTTAATTTACATTCAGATGCTATATACACTTAGAATTTTAGGGTTTTTTCCCTTCTAACTCATGCCTGCCGTTTTACTACCAGTGAAGATGAGATGGTTTTTTTCCTCCGTCTCTGTATAAGGTTATCATAGCTGGTTGATGTCCAGGTCATTTCAGTAAGGGAATAAAACAGAAAAAAATATATTGCTCTTACTAACATTGGGATTTGTCTAAAATTTGTTTTTACTTGGCAGAATGAGATATGTTATACTTTGAGGAACAAATTTTTCTTATTTATCTATAATTTATCATTTTAGATGAAAAAGAAAGCAAAACAGGCCATTGTTGAGTCAGATACTGAAGAGGAAAACTATAAAGTACCAGAATATAAAACGGTCATCACTTTCTATTCAAAAGATCAATTAAATATTACATTATCCAAATGTGGCCTTGTTATGTTAAATAATTTAGCCCAGGTAAGGACATAAATTTGAAACTTTAAATATTGAACTACTGTATTAACACTGTTGAGAAGCCTGTGTTTCTTTTATTGAATAAGATCATCACTAATTCTGGTCCCATGTCCATTTATGTTCTACTTGTCATTTAGTTTTTCACGTTTTATTTACAATAACTTTTTCTTACCAGGCATTTACAGAAGCTGCCACTGGCTCTTCAGCTGGCTTCATAAGGGATCTAGCACCATTTATGATCGTAAATTCCCTTGGACTTACTATCTCTGTTTCACCAAGTGATTCTTTTAGTGTACTCGGTGTTCCTATGGCAAAATCATATCTATTGAAAAACGAGGAGAGTTTAAGTATGGATTATGTCCGAACTAAGGACAATGATCACTTCAATGCAATGACCAGTCTAAGCAGCAAACTCTTCTTCATTCTTCTTAGTAAGTGATATGTTACTTTCCTGGGGCTTTCATTTGTTTTAAGTTATATTTTACATGCCATTTTACTTACTTTTTTAAAATTTCTTTTTAAATAGGTTGTAAGTTTTTTTTTTTTTTGCAATGTTTTGGCTACAGTTGTCTTCATATTCTAAGTTCTTTTCTTTAATCCACTTCATTATTTACAGCATGATAATGTTTACTATGTTGTGTAGAGGAAAAATATTAGATCTCATCCTCACTCAGCTTTTCCAGACTTACAAGTTGGTAGTATTCCACCAGTTTTGTAGCTGAATGAATTCAATGTAAAGGTTGAATTCATGAAAATGGCACATGTGTAAAGGTTTTGAGATCAAAAGTATTTTTTGTATTTTTGTATGTTTTCCGATTGAAGTGGATGTTTTTTCTTTTTTTCACCTTCATAGAAGATTTCAGATTTTATGGTAAAGTGAAAATAAAAGTGTCACAGATTATCAGGTTAAACTCCTGAATGAGGCTTTTTTTTTTAACTAATAAAATCTTTTTTAATTAAAAAAATTCTTAATTTTTCAGAATTTTTAAGTTTTTCTTTCTTCTCATGCCATAATCCTTCCCTCAGCTTTCCCAGCAGGCTAGGATCATGGACCCTTATGCATTTCCAGTGTGTGCACATTGACACAGGAACTGAACCCCAAACTTCCAGCATTGCAGGATCATGCTACTGTTGCATCACTGCAACTGGTCATAACTTTTTTTTTTGGGGGGGGGCCAGGAGGGGAAGAAAATGCTTTATAGATTTTAAATGAGTGCTGTGGAAATAAGCTGTGGCTTCTTAAAATATCCCTTTGTGTGGATTATATCCTAAAACTTCATTGACTGTTATGTTAAAGACAGTCATCTGATATTTAACATATACCTAAAATTAATAAGTAACGAATTAAAAACTTTCAAATTTTTGTGTTTAATTTAGCACCTGTTAATCACTCTACTGCCGATAAGATTCCTTTAACAAAAGTGGGACGACGTCTGTACACTGTAAGGCACAGAGAGTCGGGAGTTGAAAGATCTATCGTTTGTCAGATCGATGCAGTAGAAGGAAGTAAGAAGATAACAATTCGCTCCCCAGTGCAGGTATGAAATAGGAATTTGGGGGAAGGTCCTGTTATACATACTTATGTGCTAATAACAGAAAAAAAACTAAAGCAAATTATTACAAAAAGAATACAAACTATAGGGACCAGCAGTTAGTGTAGTGGTTATGTTGCTGAACTCCCATGTAGTTGACCATGGTTCGAGTCCCAGACCCAGTGGCTTAAACTCACGCCGGGCGTGTGTATGTGCATGCCCAAGATCCTGAGAGGAGAATGGAGGAGAAGGGATTGTGGCGTAGCCATCCTCCCTGGGGGGTGATTTCTTGCTTTTTGTCTCTCTGTCTCTCTTTGTCTTTCTGGTGAGCACATGCACCCTATAGCAAAAAAAAAAAAAAAACTCTCAAAAAAATAAACTGTATAAAAATATAGCTGATATCCAAAAGAAGAATAATCACCATTAGTTACACTGCTCTAAAATGGCCTTTGTACAATTTTGTCCAAGATAATTCTCTTAATTTTTTATTAGACTATTTTGTAAAATCTTTTTGAATTATTATTTTGTAAAAAAAATTACCAATATGTTGCTTTAGGTCTTTATAATATGTAATATACTTTTTTTTTTCTTTTTAAAAAAATTTTTTTTATTATCATCATCATAATCTTCTTTATATTACATTACATTGGATTACATATAACTTTACAGTGTATTACATTGTTTTTTCAAAAGGGAATGCCATGCATGTCTGTCAGTACAGAGACATTAATCTCCCCCCTTCAACATTCAATAGTTTTTCTATGTTTTCCCCAATCATTATTTTTATTATTCTAATTATTTTTTAAAACAGTCAATTGCTATTTCTCATTTTGCTTGTAAAAATACTTTGCCCATCATGAAATACTTCTCAGACCAATCCAGTTGAGAATACTATACATGTCATCAACAGTTAATAAGCCCAAACTGTTTCTCACTAACGTCCTGCCCCTCTATTGTTCACTTGCTATCTTTCTCTATCCTCTTCTCTTCACTTAC